GGCCCTGAGCCAGCCTTGATTAATCTGGTTAACCCACGCCACACCCAGCTGCAGTCAGTGAGGCAACCTCCCTCTGCCTGGGAACTAAAAATACACCGAGGCTGCACTGCTCTGCCCCGATACTACGTGTCTGCATCGGAATGCCCCAGCAATCACCGCCCTCTCGGCAGCTGCTGGTCCCAAATGCAGCACTAACAATGCATCGGTGAGGGGGAACAGCCCTGAGGTCACCGCGGCACCTGCAGAGCCACAGCCCGGAGCCGGCACCAAAGGAGTCCCCCCAGCGGGAAAGGGACTCCGGCAGGGAGCTGCAGACACACAGAGCTCAGAGAAACACCCACCGCCACAGGCACAGAGCACTGCACGGCTCTCTACAACTGCTCTGCCTGAAGGGGAAGGACTGAGCTCTGATTTCCTGCACTCTGCTCCTTTCTGCACTGGGGATGCATTTACAGCGTGCACAGCAGAGAGGCAGGGCAGGATCAGCTGCACCTGCAGACAAACCCACTGCACAAATCCAGCTTCTCCTCGGGGAAATCTTACCTCTGGAAAGGCTGGTATCCTCCGTAAGCAAGCAAAACCCACTGCAAAATACACACTTCAACCCCATGGACTATGTCGCTGAAAACCCCGACAAAATATACTTGCTTATGTAAGCATTCTCCTTATTAATTGTCAGCTCTCATTCCTAGCTCTGCAGTCTCCCAAGAAAACGCTTTGCTCCTTTCCAAGTGCCTCCAGAAGGGCGCTTTGTTTACCCTCCTGTGCTGTTGCACTGCACCATCTCGGTACACAAGATGACCATACTCTATTAAACTGTAAAAGGTCAGTACACACTGCTGCAATAAAATCAACTTTGTGTAAAACAGATGACATTTCTAGTACAAACACAATATTCCAGTCACTCAGGGAATAAACGTGCGCCAGCTGCTTTTCAAAGCAAAACCCTTGTTTACAGAAACCCAGCGCACGCAGCGAGGCCAGCACAGCTCTGAGAATTATTCACAGAACTGGGGCCAAAACAGATTTTCTCTGCAGGAAAAATAAGAACATCACTAAGCATGGACTCCCATACAGAGTAAATTGTATCTGCTCCCTGCTGTCTCAAAAGCCATGAGCTCCCTGCTAAAATACCTTCCTAGTTTGTCACAGTTACCTGATTTCCCAGCATTGTATCAACTCCTCTTTCCATTAATTCCCAGAGCTGACCAAGTGTTTCCACCACCTCGTTGGACACACAGTGGGTGTATTTCAGATCAGAACATACTGAAGGGTTTTGCATAAGCAATTACACAAAATCAATCAAAACTGGTACAGTGTAGATAGATGTAAACCTGTGTGTTTACAAACTCAAGTTACGTGAAACCTTCAGGCTTAAATTACCAGTCTTGAAATTTGGCAAATCACAAGCTTCAGTCTTGTTACGAAGATTTTTTTATTACTTCCCCAAGTAAATATAATCCTGACTTATGCAATTTGATGTTTTTATGAGATATAGAAGGCTGACCTCTGCTTCTCTTCTGGTCCAGAAATTTGTTTCATACACAACAATAATCGTTTCCGAGCACTTGTTTCAAGCTGAATTTGTATGACAGTTTTGGAAATGCAGCCGCACACGAGCCATGTGGGTGACCTGGGATGTATCCCCTCATTCCAGCTGAGCAGGGAGGCACAGGGAGGAAGAACTGGACATTCTCACAGGCTGAGGAAGCCAAAGGATGGCAGAACTCTCGGACCTCCATCAGCCAGAGCATAACAGCACAAACCCCTGGTGTGCTGCAGGAGCACATTCCCAGCTGAGGAGCCCGAGGCAAAGCCTCCCTCAGGCCAAGGAGGCAGGACAAGCAACTTCAGAGCTGAGGCAGGAGGAGAAAACTCTGGGGGGTGTTGAAGTGAGGCAGCAGCAAAGATGGGGAAGCAACTGGAACACAGGAATCCAACAGCTCTGTGTTCCCAGCTCCTGCAGCAGCTTTACAACCAGCAGCTCTGAACTGAATGTTTGCAAACAAGGCAAACCCGGGCTTTCTCCCTCAGCTCCTGGTTTCCCAACACTGAAGAAGGAGCCACACAAATAATCTGGGGGGAGGAGGGGAGTATATGTTCCAGAAGAAATTAGTGCTGATTTAGCTTACCAAGAAGTGCTGACCAATGATTTCTGTGGGTCATGTCTGTGGCTTATAAAATATGAGCTATTTTAATAAGTTGTAGTAAGTTTAGGCCCTGAGACAGCAGTGACTTCATACGTCATTTGAACAGAATGCGGTGGTGTTAAGAATAAAAAATGGGAAAGGGATTCAACTAAAAAAAAAATGAGTTTTTGATCTTCTTTAGGAAAAAAACAGCTATTTTCTCTGCTACTTCCAGATTTTCTGTCAAAGCAGGTTAGTCAGCAATGTTGCACAATAAGTTGTCCAGTCCTGAAGATATTAGGTATGGCAAAAAACCATATAAAAAACACATTCCAGGTTTCTGAAAGCACCACTGCTCCAACCCAGCTATGCTGGTTCACTTCTGATTTAATAATCTACCATTAAATTGCTTACTACGTGAACCATGCATTTCATGAACACACATCCAGATCCATATGTCTTTCAGGATAAACTGTAGCCCTAGGGTTTGCCTACAGAAAATGTTCATTAAGACAAACCAAATTAAAGCCACTTCCATTCTGAATGGGTGACCACAGGAGAGATTTAACTGAACTGCCTGAAATTAACTCTCCCATTCTCCATGTTAATCCCTCCTTCTGCAGCAACACTGCAGACATATCCTAAAGAACAGGAACAGCCCTTCAAATTACACCCTGGATGGACACAATGCAGTGATCCTTTAGTATCTGGAGCTGACTTTTCCAGAAGCGTTAAAAGACATTTTTAAAGTCTTTTGTACCAAACCATTTTCAGATATTTTAAGCTGGTTTGGTTTTGGAGGAAGCTGAGTTTTGCTCCACTACGGGTCATTGTATTGCTCACCTGTGACAACCTACAGCTGCACCTGGGACACACACCGTGCTCCAGCAATCCCACTGCAGCTGGGGGTGGAGTCTCACTGTCCCAGGTGAGCTCCCTGCATTTATGGGTGTCACTTAAAGGCTAAGAAGGAAAAAGAGCCACACAGGCAGATTATCTCTGTGTGCAGTGAGACTGCAGATAAAGAGAAGCCAGAGATAGCCCTGGCTCTGCAGGAATACCACTGCTACCTGGCGTGGCTGCAACAGTTTAGGGGAAATTAGGACACAAATGGATCTCCCTCCAGTTTGCAAATGACTTTTCTTAACTGAATTTAAATCACAAAAAAAAAAAAAAAAAACAAAAACAAAATCAAGCAAGCAGCTCCAACCAGAGAATGCCTGAGCAGAAAGCTTTGGCTGTGCTGATACAACCTCAAGGCATTTTCCATTCGTGCTCCAGCAGCTTGTGGATCGCAGTGACAGGAGGGTCAGGGAGCCCCCCTAGAAGAGCAGGAGGGACAAAGCTGCAGCTGGACGTGAGCAGGCCGGGCCAGCACAGGCCCCGCTGTGGGCAGGGCACGGCTCGGGGGGGCGGGATGCTCATCCCACTGCCCATCGCCCTGGCAGATCACGGCTCCAGGTGCTCCAGGTGCCCCCTGCCCATCCCCTGCGCACAGGGCACGGCTCCAGGGGGCGGGACACTCATCCCGCTGCTCTTCCCCCTGGCCGGGACACAGCCCCGCTTCGAGGGACCCCACTGCACTCCCTGTCACAGGCGGGACAGGCTCCAGGTGTGCGGGATGCTCATGTCCCCGCACAAGGCACGGCTCCAGGTGTGCGGGATGCTCATGTCCCCGCACAAGGCACGGCTCCAGGTGTGCGGGATGCTCATGTCCCCGCACAAGGCACGGCTCCAGGTGCTCCAGCTGACCCCGCTCGTGTCCTGGTCCGGTCACGGCTCTAGGGCTGCGGCTGCTCCCCCGGGCCCCTCCGCTCCGCTGCCAGCCCGGCCGCATTCCCGCATTCCCGGCCCCTCGGCCCTGCGCCCGCCCGGCCCCGCCGCTCCTCCCCAGGGCCTGTCGGGGCCGAGCCCACCCGCCCTCAGGCCGGTCCGGCTCAGCGCTCCCGGGCCGAGCGCGGAGCGGCGGCCCCCGGGAGGGGAGCCCGGGAGAGAAGGAGAGCGGGAGCTGTGCCCCGCTCGGCCCCAGAGCTCCCCGCCCGCACCCGGTCCGGCGCTCCCCGTCCGTACTCTCCCCGCCCGTAGCTGTGCCGGCCCAGCTCTCCCCCCACCGGTGCCCATACCGGCCCGGCCGTGTCCGGCTCTCCCCGCCGTACCCGTACCTGTGCCGGCCTGGTGCCCCAGCCGTGCCCGGCTCTCCCCGCCCGTTCCATGCCCGTGCCGGTGCCCCGGCCGTGCCCGTACCCATACCGTCCCGTACCTGTGCCCCGGGCCCTACCCGTACCGTCCCGTACCTGTGCCCGGCCCCGGCCGCGCTCGGCGCTCACAGAAAATGGCGGCCCCGCGCCCCGCAGACATTTATCCCCGCCCCGCCCGCTCGGCGCTCGCCGCACCGCCCTGCGCAGCTCGCCTGTCCGCCCCGCCCCGGCCCGCCGGGGAGCGCCGAGCGCTCGATCGGCCCCGCCGCCATTTGGGAGCGGCGGAGGGAGGGGAGGGAGGGACGGGATCGTGAGGGGATGGAGGGGATCCCGAGGGGATGGAGGGACGGGATCCCGAGGGGATGGAGGGGCGGGAGCCCGACGGGGTGCTCTGAGCAGGCAGCGCTGCCGAGGGCGGCACTGCCGGGGTGGGGTGTACGCTGCTGGGACGGAGCAGAGGAGAAAACACACACACACACAAAAAAAAAAAAAAAAAAAAAAAAAAAAACCAAAAAAAAAACCACCAGCGTGCGAGGTCTTTCCTGGAGGAGACACGGAACAGCTGTCAGGCCAGCGACCCCCGTGTAACTCGGGACAGGCTCCATGGAAAAGCTGGGATACCTGAGGGCTCTGCTGGCTGGAACTCGCTCCCAGTGCTCCACGAATTCACTTGTTTTAGCTTTGAAAACGTCCGGCACAGCACATCAGATGGTGAGCGGGATTTATCACCCCTAAACACAGCTCCCAAGGACAGCCCCTCCACAGGAAAGCATCTCTCCCGGAACTGTTTTAAGAAGCATGCATGTTTGCATTTACAGCCATGTAAGTTCCATTAACGGGTAATTAAATAAGCATTTCTCTAAAAAGAGCCTCCAGCAAACTTCTCTCAACCTTATTTGGGATTTCTCTACAGCAGAAGGTTTATTCTGATATAAACCGAGACCTGAGTGCAGCTAAAGTCACATTAACCTCACAGAGGCATGGCAAGGGCGAGGGAAAAACCAGCATTGCTGGGTTTGCCTCTCCTAAGCACCACATGAGGAAAAAAACCCAAAACATACAGAATCTTTAGGTACTGGTGCCCTCCAGGAAGAGGTGTGGGTGCCAAGTCACAGGAGATTGGAATGGGGGTGACAGGCAGGAGCTCTGGAAGGCTGAAACACAAGTGTCTTTAGGTGTGATTCAGTGTTCTATCCCCCTATGTTCTGAAGTTACCACTTATTCCAGTGTATAAAGCCTTCAGTTTAGAGAATACTGATAAAATAAACATTTAAGCTTTTTGTAGCACTCTTTCACAAGACAGACCACATGGAGATTTCAGCCTTGCTCTTAAAAAAAAAAAAAAAAAAAAAAAAAAAGAGCTGCTTCTCCTATTTTCCTCCTCCCCATTGCCCTGGGCTCAGGCCTACCAAAAAAAAAAAAAACCAAGAAAACCAAATCCAGACCAAGACAGTGCCTTGGGTACAAGAAATATTCACATGGCCTTGGACTAAGCAAATCCCTGTAACACGGTAGAGAGTAGTACAAACTTTAGAAAAACATGCAAAAGGATCTTAAAATATTGTAACATAAAATACAAGCACCTGCCATGAGGAGCTTAAAAAGAAAGAAGGAAAGGAGGGAGGGACATTCACCTGAAGAAGAGGTGGTTTTGACAAAGGCTTTTCATAAGGTTTTAAACTTCTTTTAAAAGGGTAGAAGGATCAAGGATTGTAGTCATGGAACAAATAAACACAGGTCTGGAGGAGAGCAAGCCAAATTTCAGAGGGTCAAACAATGTGGCACATGCAAAGAAATACAATAATTACAAGAAATGAGAAGAAAAGCAAACAAGGAAAGCGATCAAAGAAACTGGAACATGGCAGCACTCATGTGGAAGGGAAGCAAAACTTGAACAGACTTTCCAAAATAAACTGAAAATTCTCAGCGTTCTTCCTGAGGCTGCCCTGGTTTGTGTTTGTGCTGGGATGGCTGATGTGTGAATGGCCAGGTTTGCACTTCCATTTGCCCGGGCACACCATCCTGTCTTACATTTGCACCCTCCGAGGTGTTTTCTGCCTGCACAAAAAGCAGCTTGAGGAGAGATCTGAAGGGAAATGGGAACCCTGGGGTCTGGGCCAGGCTGACTTAGGGACAGTAACCATTATCTTGAGCAATGGGAATTCTTTCCCTTTCCTGCAGGGGGTATCTCAGGCAGGCAGAGCCATCCCAGCTGCCCAGACCCCGGGATGCTCACAGCTGGAAAGGAGAGGGATGATCCCAGTGAGCAGCTCAGGGCAGAGCAGGAATTCTGGCTGCTGAGAAGGAGCTGGGAAAGTTAAACCTTTCCTCGTTTGTGGTGGTTCAGTTTGCTCCGTGCAATATTCCTAAATTCCCAGCCCACTGAGCTGGCATTACTGGGGTTCTCCAGCAGTATCCAACAGCACATGACAGAGCTGGGAGCCTCACAAGAACGAGCAGCAAGAATCAGGAGTGGAATGCTGGCTGGGGGAGAGGAGAAATGTGTATCCACAGTTTATTATGGAATTTGGGGTATCAAACCTTGCTCCCTCACTCCTCCAGCCAAGGATTGCCTTAGAGAAACTTTGCCATTTTATCCAGGGTGCTTCCCTCTGAGCCAGTCCAGGCCTTGTCCCTCTGCATGCCAGTTTGATGTGTGCTACAGATCATTCTCCTGTTCTCCCAGGAGATTTTTTTTTTTTTGATTAAGGGAACATTGCTTAGTTTAAGACAAGTTAGATGCAAAAGAAGTCCAGTGTACAGAGGCCATGAAGAAAGGGGCCTTGAACACAAGCATCTGCAACCTAAAAGAGAAGCCAAATAAGGAATCTCTAGTTTGTCATGATGATGCATAAACCATTGATATTTTGTCATTCAGCTGAAAGACTTTACTATTTGCCCTTGTCACTGAAGTGTTCAAAGAAAAGGGGTGGAAATATAATTTATAGTCAGTTTTTTCATGCATTGAGAATTCAAATTGCATAAGTTACTTTATAACAACAGGACATATAAAGCTGTTAAGAATGAGTAAACTTGTTTTGCTGGAATGAGAACCATAGCACAATCTGTTCACATTAATTATTTTTGCTGGTTTGTCCCGAAGAAATTCTCAACTTTTGAATTTACCCATATCCAGCTAAAAGTGGTTGCTGGCTGCAGTACCTGCCTCACCTGCTCACTGCTTTGTTCTGTATCTGAATTAAAGTTACTATCTTCATTTTTCCTCTTCTTCCTTCTCACTGCTTTAACTCTTTCATGTAAGAAACATATTTATCTAAAAAACTTACCCTATTCCACAGAGGAATATTATAGCACTGTGTACTGAGAATATCACAGCATGAAAAGAATGTTAGATTAGTGTTTTATACATTTAATATGGAAATGCTGACCTGATGGGTGCCACCTGCACAGGGAATAAAAACTCCGTCTGAACAAGCACTCTGGGAGAAAACAATTTAAAAATTAAAAATCTAGGCTACAATTTGTATCTACTTGAGCAGTCATTCCTACTGTAGAGACAATAAATACAGCACTTTGATTTATACATGTATTCTATTTTTGAAACCCAACCAGACTGGTTTATTGGGTTTATTTTGACTTTCTGAAAAAGTCTAACCACAATAAAATCTATTCCGAGCTAGGTAGGACAGTTTAAAAATAGCAAAGCAGAAACAACTCTTTCCTGACAAACATTATGAGAACCTGAGCTGAACAGATATTAAAAATATCCTGTGCAGCAGAGCAGTCACACCTGATACTGAGCCACAGGAGGGACTGATCACCAGATCTGGGGGACCTTCAGCTATGCAGGATTTGTCCTGTGCATGGACAGCTTCTGGTGTGGGGACTGAGCTGTGTTCAGTACAACAGCTCATGTAATGATGTGCCTCAGGCTGGCAGGAAGGTGTCAGTTTTCTGTGAGGAGTGGTGAGTGCTGCATCAGCAGGCGGTCAAACAGGAGGCTGTGTGTGTGTGCACATGCGTGTCAGATTATCTCTGAAAAATATATAAACTTTATCTTTCTTCAATCATATTTGTTGTGTTTCTTCATAAAAAAGACAAGCTGGTTTTTTACAGCCCTGCTCTCCTGTTCGTGTGTTTGCTCTGTGCACAGGAACACTCGCTCTGCTCTCCCTGACGTCACAGGGGAGATTTTGGAGACAAGGAACCCAAAGCAGCCCAGCCAGTGAGTCTGTCCAACTGCTATTCCCAGGTAACACCAGGCTAATCAGCACGTAGGTCTAAGGTTATACATCCCTGCACCATTCAGAGGTTCAGTGGAGGGAGCAAGAGGCCAAATGAAGAGTCCATTTTAGCCACGTGCACACATTCCTGCACCAGGAGAACTGGAACCCTCCCCTGCTGGGTTCTGTCAGAAAAATCTGTGCAAAGCAACAGAAAAGGTCCCTGGCTTCCAGCACAAGCCAATTTATCCACTGTCTTTCAAGTGCATCTCAGGCACTCAGATAAACAAAGATAGGTGATCAAAGGCTGCGCTCCCTGTGGCAATGCAGCCGTGCCTGGGCCAGCTGGGATTCTGTGTCCTAGACAGTGATCTGTGGTAGAGGGGCCTGACGATTAAAAATCCCATTGCAAGCACAGAACTTCAGGAGCAGAGTGCTGATGTGAGAGCAGGGAAGGGTTTGTTCCTCAGCTGGGCTTGGTGTCCCTGCAAGTGTGAGCTGGGCCAGGCCGGCTGGCCCAGAGCAGTGCAGAGCTGGGCAGTGGTGATCAGGTTGATTATTTGCATCGCCATCTGCTTTTGCTGCAATAGAAAACTCAACCGTGATTAAAGCTGCTAATCCAGGGTAATGTTCGTTTTGGTCTTATTTTTGTCAGAACTTCTTTTTAATTTCTTTCTGCAAGATAATAAAAAGCCAAAACAATGCTCTGAGCAAAACAAGTAAATGACTGGAGCAGTAATTAGCCAAGACATCAGGTCAAAGGAATGCAAACATACAGGTCTCTTGCTGCAGCTCATCAGAACCCCAGTGTGCTGCGTTAGGAGATTTGGTAAATCTCTCAGCAATTGCAGAGAAATGAGTGTTGACATGTCTGGCTGTACCTGAGTATTTTTAATGCTTTGGAGATATAGATCTAATACTCAGATTTGTTCAGCTTAATTTATTCAGGCATTCCTTAACTTCAAACCCATTTCTGGTGGAGACAGAAGCCTTGCACCGGCAACAAATTATGTCAGCCTTTCTTCTGCCTTTCACAGGAACAGAGCAGTGACATGAGAACTGCAGTAACTGCTGAAACATGATTGCTGAGAACCCATTTCATTTGATAGTCAGGCCAAATAAATACCAAACAAAGCAAAGTCTAAGGCACACTGAAGCCTTGTTTTTCACAAAGTGAGCACTGCTATCATCTCTGTGAGTCAGAGTAACTGGTCCTGTGTTCACATCCCAGCTTCTGGACAGCAAGTGACAACAAGGTGTTTTTTCCCTTAGCACACACAACGTTGGATGGAGGGAAAGGAATAAGGATTTTCCTGTGGCCAGTGTGTAATGTGTGCTTATCTAGAATTCCAAGGGGGTCTTGATGGCCACAACACTCCCCTGTTAATTCTGACAAACATGCCTTCCTACTGCCTGAATTCCAAGAGTGTTCCTTGCAGAGTCTCAGCCAGGGGTGCTCTCTGAGGCTTCTGGAATTGCAGTAAAGCCAAAGCTTTCCAGAGGCAAGGAGGTTGGAGCTCCACAGGCACCATCACTGCCATCAGAGGAGGATCAGTGGCTGAGACAGCTCCCC